CCTACCTGTGGAATCTTGTAGATTCCTAGGATGGGAGCCATATGGAGGCAGACATTTGAGTCAGGTCCCCCGATGACTGCAACTGCATTGTTCCTGCTATCACACTTGTAGTTTGGAATGAACCTCTTCCAGGTGGAGAGAAGTTCCATCGAGGCAAGATAAGTCCAGCTTGCACTCAAATGACTGTTGTAGATCTGGAAGCCTACAGTGATGTTTGGCAAAATGTGTGGGTTTTCATTGATTTCTTTTACAGCAAATGTCAAAGCCAGGATATGTTGGTAATTCTGAGCCAAAACCCTACCAAACAAACAAACAAACAAACAAACAAATAAATGATGTATTATTGGGGAGAATCTCTATGATAAAAATGAATGTATTGCCTAGAATAATGTTTTTGTTTCAAACAATACCTATTTTGACAACCGATGCACTACTGAAGCAATGGCAGAAAGATATAACTAGGTTTGTATGGCAAGGGAAAAGCCAACAGTTAAAAACGAAGTCCTCCAAGATGCAAAGGAATGAGGACAGTTGGGATTGCCTCATTTGAAGTTGTATTTTGCAGCCTGCTGTTTGGTTTGGATGAAAGAGTGGGTGTTACTGAGAAATAAAATAAATTTAGAACTAGAAGGGCACAATCTGAGCTTTGGATGGCAAGATTTTCTATGGCACAATAAAGTTAAGGTTAATGTCGATTTTAGAAATCACTATCTTAGAAGTGCCATATTGAGAATATGGCATAGATATAAACCCAGGCAGTGCCCAAAAATGCCTTTATGGGTCTCAGCACAAAAAGCATTTTATAGAAAAGAAACAGAAGGTATGTAATTCCTATAATGTATAAACTCTTGCTGAAATTTGAAATGGAAGAAGAACAAATGAAAGAGCATATGATAAAATGGGCCAAGAACTTTGGTTATAACATATTGTTGGATCAGAAGGAAAACATGTTGTTGAAAGGATTGAAATTCACACTATGTTCTAATTTACTTTAGAGTCACTTTATGTGAGATGGGCAGCTATATACTGTAAATATGATAGATAGATAGATAGATAGATAGATAGATAGATAGATAGATAGA